GCAGGATTCCTGGGTCATACAGTAAGTCTATTCCTAGTCTTTTGAGGACTCGCCATACTGTTTTCCATAGTGGCTGCACCAAACTGCATTCCCACCAGCAGTGTAGGAGGGTTCCCCTTTCTCCACAGCCTCTCCAGCATTTGTCATTTGTGGATTTTTGAATGATGGCCATTCTGACTGGTGTGGGGTGATACCTCATTGTAGTTTTGATTTGCATTTCTCTGATAATTAGTGCTATTGAGCATTTTTTCATGTGCTTATTGATCATTTGTATGTCTTCCTTGGAGAATTGCTTGTTCGGGTCTTTTGCCCATCTTTGGATTGGGTTGTTTGGTTATTTCTTATTAAGTCATATGAGCTGCTTATATATTCTGGAGATCAAGCCTTTGCCGGTTTCATTGCAAAGATTTTTATCCCATTCCGTAGGTTGTCTTAAACTATCTTTAAAGGTGGGCCCAGAAGAGGAGCTCTATCACCAGGGAAGCCCCAGGTATTCCTCCTGGGTGCCTCCTGCACTCTGGTACAACTTGGTAGTGATGAGGTTGTAAATTTTCTTCAGCTCTTTCTGCTAATGTTCAAATTCTTGCTTTTCAGCAATCTGATTCTTACTGAGTCAGTTGATGATTTCATTATACTTGTCAAGAATCTTCTATTGTTCTCATCTTTGATTTTGCCTTGAAGTCTCTCATCTTCAACAATTGCTTTCACGTTAAGTGCACAGAATTTAAGTGGATTCCTGGCAGATATCTTGTTCCTCTGCTTCTCATAATCAGCTTTGTATTTCTCATCATCTTGGACCATATTGTCCATGTTGTCTTTGCTCAAATGGTCCTCGTTTTTTTGATGCTAATCTTGTTCTCTTTTCCTGTTCTCTTATCCATAGCAGAGACAACTAGGGTGCCACTGGCATCCAGGGAAACTACATCACCAAAAACAAATACGTCAAACTGAATGGATACCATAACCACATAGACGAAAAAATTTAATCCACACTACTGAACACAATATTTTGACTACATATCTTCTGTGTAAAGATAAAAAGAACGGCAAAAAAACCTTGAGCTTAGTAAGTTTACTGTTGGTAGGAGTGCAGGTGTAGCTATTTTGAAACTACCCTGTGTGTTCTCAGACTGAGCAAAGAAATCAATAGACTGATACTAATGGGCCCCAGGGTTCCTGCTATGGAAGAAGGAATACACAATAGAATGGGATGGAGTGAGAAACAACCCTGTAACATTGGATCATATTGAAAAATTGGAATCACTATGAACTCAGGTTTGCTTATTTTGTTTTGTCTTTTTTTTAGCTCTGCCATTGAAAAGACCTAGAAGCAATGATACCCCAGTAGCAATAAGAACATCTAGAGCCTGTATCTTGGTTTCTAAATACCATTGCCCTCTAATAGGAACCATGACTCATTGGAGGACTGGCTGATTTCAGAGCTGAGCCAGGAAAAGTACAAGATGAACCTGGAACATCTTGTGCCAGAAAGTAAGGAAGTGCTCAATAAATGACAGGGAACATGTCAGAAGGACACATCATAAGGACACCAGCTTGGCAGAGCTCCTACTGGCTGACTGAGCACCAAAATTAACAATGACAGTATATATCGAATATAAATGAATTCTTGCATCCATAAAATATGAAGAAACCAACAAGCAAAGAGCAGGGAGAGAAGGGAAAGCTCTTCTTTTTAGTGGAATGCCAACTAATAAACATGGACGGACCATGACAGAATCATTAGGGGAAGCTAAAACCATTAGATTTTATGTCCTTGGGTGCCAAAGATAAAGCCAGATATTAGCTAAGCAGTGAAAACAGATTTTAATCGGTAACTGCTGACAGTAAGGGAAAGAGCTGAATTCCGTTCTGTTTGGCACAGAGGTGACTGGGCGTTTCAAAGGGAGAATGAGGGTGGAGGGAGGAGTGGTGTGGAGGCGGCACAAATGAGAAGTTACAGAGAGTTGCTCTGCTGCTGGCAGTGCTCCAAGAGAGGGTCCTGTCCCCATAGAGCCTGGGGACAGAGGCCCACCTCTCAGAGGTATGACTTTCATGTCCTTGAGAAAGACGCTCCTGAGGTGAAGGAGATACAAAACATCACATCTCAGAGGGGCAGAGAAAGGGTTCCCAATTGGAAGCCCTTTGAGTAAATGCTCTGAGAGAGGGAGGTTGGGGCCTCCTACCTGGTGTCAGCAGATTACTTTGACAACCCTGAACTTTCCTATACAGGAATTCAAAAGGGGGCTGGGTGTCCCAGGGGTGCAGCATTGGCTGCCAGAAGCTGTGTTAAAGTTGAGTCAAATCTCTCTCTCCACTCCCCTCCCTTTTTTTTGGTGGGGGGAGGAGGGTCAAGTCTTTCAGTGCAAGGGTTTGGATAGAGTGTTTCTGTGCAAAGTTTTTGCAGTTCTCTAGGGTTAAGGAATATTTACGCATTCACAAAGTATCTGCCCTCAGATTACCCAGTAATTAAAGGGCAGGAAAGTACCTTTATAATTCAGGAATCTGGTGGACACCATGTGAACAAAGTGATGAAAATCATCATCAGCAATAACAACACAAATGGTCTGGAATAATTTCTCAAACTTTCTTTGATTTTTCTGGCCTTGACCCTTGTAAAGATTACAGGCCAGTTGCTCTGTAGAATATTTTCCAGTTTGGGTTGGGCATGTGCTTCCTTGTGGATGAATTCAGGTTCTGTGCCTAGACAGGAGCATCTCAGAAGTCATGTTGTGTTCTTCTAATTTCATCCTAATGGATGGCACATAACTCACATTCCCATCACAGTGCTACTGTGAAAGTACTTCTTTTCCCCTCTGTAATTAATTTTTACTTTAATTGTAGTCATAATGTAATATTATACATACATAATATTATTAGTCAGTAATAATATGTGTTTTGTGGGCAAGCACTTTGAAATTGTGTAAACATTTTATTCCTGATGAAACTTTGAATTTATTCAATTATTTATTTTTATTGTTATGGACTATGGTTTCCTATTTTATTTAGTGGGTTATAATCAGTCCCTCTCATCATTTACTTTGATGCTCATATTGTTCTAGGTTTGGCCAGTGGGAGTGCCTTCCAGCTGGCTTCCATGGCCCTTTGACACGTCTCCATCACTTCCTTACTTTCTGGCAGAACAAGACGTCCTAGGCTCATCTTGTACTTAACTCTGAAAGCAACCATGCCTCTAAGCAACTGTAGCTCCTGCTATTAGAGAATGACAATTAGAAGCCAAGATCTGGGTACCAGATGTGCACCTGTTGTGGGACGTCCCTGGTCCAGGCCCTCTCCAGGGCCAGAGATGAGGAACACAGCTACCTACGTCTGTATTTAATTCTCTGCCTATCGCTCTAAACATTCTGAACTCATGAGTCTACACTGATAACTGCAATTCCAATTCAACACTATAGAGTTCATTCTCTTTCCTTATTTGCAACTGCCTCTCAGACGGAGACAATCCTGGTTCCGACGACCCTTCTCACCCTACTCGGGGGCCGTCGCCTAGTTTCCTGGATCTGGCATCTGACACGAAGGGGTGAAGGGAAAGTCGGAGGTGGTAACAGTGGGGGGTTAAGCCCGAACGTTTAGACCCCTTTGGAACCCTGGCTCCACCACGTGTGACCTTGGGCAGGTCACTTACCCTCTTTGAAATGTAATATTCTCTCCTATAAAATTGTGACAGAAATAGAGCCTCCATCAGGAGGCTGTCATAGTGAGAACCAACAGTTCACCTTCTTTTCCCCACCTGCTCGGCGTCACAGGCGGACGCCCCCTCCCCGCAGAACACCAGGGGGACGGCTTTGCACCCCGGCGCCGAATTTCATCGAATCTGCCAGCCACCGACTTTAAGATACCCGCTTTATGAAATTATAGCGTTAAGAAAGAAAAAAAATGCTGTCACTCGTACTACGAAACGCCTCCTAAATACTCCGGGGACCTTAAAATGTGAAAAGAAGAGCGTATTCCTGGAGCCACCGACGAACGGCGGGTGTGGGAAACGCAGCACACGTTTCAAGGCGCGCGGCGGCGGGACCGGGCGGCGCCTCCTCCGCTGGGTTTCGCTTTCGGTTCGGCGGGAAACGAAAGCCGCGCGGCGGG